CTCTCATTTCTTCTCCTCCACTACAGGGATCGAAGCCTACAACAAGCCTATCCATCCGGAAACCAAGCTCTATCTCAATAATAACTCGGATTAGATGTTCCCTTCTGGAAACAGAAGCGGATTACATTTGTAGAGAAGTGATAGCCCTTAGTATTGAAGTTAAATTGCTAAATTCGATCACGACAATTACACCGCTCAAATAGTTCCTTATCTTAGTACATCTAAATACCCTAAGGGAGGTCCAAAACAGATGTTAATTAATATAAATAAAATAAATAAATAAATAAAATTGAATAACCAGCTTCTAATTCAATAAAGAAAAAGAAAGAGAAAATAAATAATATACCTTAAAAATAATAAACAATATCCCGCACTATATCACATCAGATTCAATCACAAAAATAGCACGAACACCTGTACATACAGGATTGAGAAAAGCCCACTACACTTCTTTTAATATTCAATCAATAATCAGATGTATAGCGACTAGTCGCTTATATCAAATCGATTTCAATCCGAATAGAATGTAATAATATATATCAACCGCATCCTACAAACACAATATAACTTTATTAATCTTTTCACTAGATCCAGATTCTATATTAAAATATATTCAAATTATACAAAACTATATAAATTCCAACCTACTCCAATATCCCGAGAATAAACTCTCCACCCCAATCAATCTAAGACCCATACCGACCAGCTATAAATACTCTGAACACTCTTTCAATCAACAACAATCAACCTGATTATTCACCAATATCCAAATAGTATACAAAACAGGCCCTCTGAAACAAAACTACAAATCCTTAAACAAACAGCCGCAGAATCGCTATAAACAATACTGAGCAGAGAAATACCAAAGACAACAAACCTCTGATTAACTAACATTACACTACTATAAGCAACTGGAACACTAGCGGCCCGTAGGCCCGCTCCTTAGTATATCTAAAATACCCCTTGGGAGGTCAGATATTAAACGTTAATCATTATAAATAAATAAATAAATAAATAAATAAATATCCCGCACTATAACTAAACAATTCATATAATTGTAGTAAACCCTCTGCAACAAATATACAATACCTCAATCAATATTTCTGATGATGAGGAGAATAATAACAATAAAAAAAAGAGAATAAGCTATCAACTATATCTTCAAAAAAACAATAAGCAATAAGAAAAATAAAGGAAATAATAATAATAAAAAAGAAACCTAGATTTCTAAAGATAAAAAAATAAAAAAAAGAATAAGAATAGACTTGAGAACAAGCCATTTCTCAAAAGAAGAATAATATAACGATCTAGCCTCAGACCTAGATTAGTCATCCATTTGCTCTACCTGACAGATCAAATCTCGCTTCGCTTTTGATCCCCTCTTGATCCCCTCCTGGTCCCCTCCGGACCTATAAAAGCCTCTTACAGATTCACTCTTTATACAATAATTTGTTATTCTCTAATATCGATAATTAATTCAATTCACTATCATGCCTTGAACCTATTGTCGTCACAATATTAAAGTTTCTTTCAAATTTTCGGTTTTGCCTAACAAAAATTACTATAGGGATTTTTAAAATCGTATTAATTTAAGAACAATATTATTAAAAAGTGTTCTATAACTTTAATACTATATTTCTATTAGATATCAAGCCTAATTATCAAAAAATTTTAAATTATCTTTGATATTCATAGAGATATAAAAAGTCGCTCTAAGTACCTTTACATGAAAAATTTGGTGTAAAGGTACCTGTCCGAGTTCCCCATACATTACGTTATATTAAATTTTAATTCTTTAATTTTCTTATTCAGCAATCAGTAATTATTCTATACTATAGATCTTAGCATATTTCGAATAAAGATATAGATATTAAAGAATTACAAATTACTTTATATCTATTTTATCTATTATTCCTTTCTATCTATTTTTTTTGAAATATATTTCTTTATTCTTCTCACCACATCCTCACATCCTCACATCCTCACATCAGAAATAAAATTATTCCATGCCTTCACTATACTACATACCTTCAATACCACCCTCCGCTTTCCTACTTCTCCGTTTCCAACACATCGTAAGAGTGGGCAGGGCAAGTGGGTGAGTGGGTGGGTGGGCTTAAGCCTTTTTACCTTGCCTTATCGTACAGTAGTCCAAAACCAACTCAACACAACCTCCATGCCAAATTCCGATGGTTGTGAAGTGGGGGGGGGGGGGGGGGGGGGGGGGGGGGGGAGAGAGAGAGAAGAGATCGAGAGGTAAGGTTCGATAGAGAAGAGAAAAAAAAGTGGAAGATTTGAATAAGAATCAATTATATCATAGATTTGTATCGACTAATCTACAAATAACCTTAGCCTCAGCTTACAAGTAATAACCGATTTCCCTACTACGTGCACGTCCCTGCTATATGCACGATCTCGATCACCCTTTTTGAATAACTTTAAAAATTAATAACAATTTCAATTTATAAGATAAAGAGCTAGCAATTTAATTGATAAATGATAAGATACAATACTATCTAAAAACATAATAAAATCTTCAGATTTTGAATTTCGATAGAACTCGTAGTGCTCGCTCTTTACTAGATCGTAATATGACCTTCTCTTTTTTTCTCTTCAAATTATTAGTCTTTACAATATCAAAAAGCTTTATAGTCTTTGTCGATATTAGATTTATAGTAAAAAAAGCTTTGGGGAACTTTTTATCTCTTTTAATTAAAGATTTTGTTGATTTTAAAGTCTTTTTAACCTCTTCTTTTATATCACATATAATCTGACAATCAACCTCCCTCTGCAATACCCTCTCTTTCGTCTCAATCTCCTTCCGTTCCTTCTCAGCTTTCTTTTCAGCTTTTATCTGAAGCTTAGCTTCCTTTTCTTGCTCCTCTTTAAGTGCTTTATCTTCTTGATACACTCTAGCTTTAATAATAGTAGAAGGTGACTATAAAAACGCACCATTCCCCTTCTCTCCAATGAGATTTAAATGCTTTGAACGAGCTCTTTTCCTTTTTTCAAGCTTTAGAGCCTTTTCTAAACCTTTAGATCTATATCTCTATATAAAAGCTTCAGCTCCTAATGTAGTTGCAGCCTTAAAAAGCTTTAAAGTAATCTCATAGATGGAAGTGCAACGAAATTCTAATTTCATTCTATATATCGCTTTTGATGTATACAATGTAGCAAAAGCATCCCTGCGAGTTTTAAATGATGTAGGTAGTGTAAAAGAAGCTTTCAGAGCAATACAGTTAATCGTAAGACTCCTATTCATAGGATATATGCCTGTTTTTTCGAAGGATTGTAAGATATTATGCCTTGTACAAGTGAGCTCCCAAGCCTTTTTAAATATACCCCAAAACATATGCTTTGTCATACCAACAATCCTCTTGCTATTGTGTATCAAATCATTCAATAATGTACTATAATTCGTCAAAAGGGCATCAAAGATTCCAATGTTGAGAGGCTGTAGTCGATGTATAGAATGAGGGGGGAGAATTAAGACAATAATCTTTAATTTATTGCATTTGAAAGGAATTTCATATTGATATGACTAGAATGACTATCGATAATAAGTAGATGATATCTTCCACCTGCTTTTCGATATATAATAGGATCGAATACATTTATAAGCTAATATAGGCCAAAAGCATTCGACGATTACCCATTACTTGAGACTCCAAAATAGGCTTTATCCTTCTCCCCTACATCCTGAACCCATATATCTTATAGATCCTCTAAGTCTCCTTTATAAATAAGAGCAGGAGGGAGAGCTGTCCCATCAATGCATATAGCTACCAATAGAGTAATAAACTCTCTTAATCCATCTTGCCTAGCTTTTGTTACTCTGCTTTTATTATAAGTGCTAACACTCATTATCCTCTTTATAATCCTCTTTATACTGATTATAAAGCCCTCCTCGTCTCAATTATATATATCTCTCGGCTGTATATCATATTTTATAATCACTTTTATCAACTAAATTAAAAAAAGAAGAGCATTAGCAAAAGCGTTTTAGATAATAAAGATCAACAACAATAGAAAATAGCTCAAACCAGATTATAAAAGTAATCAAATATAGCAACATTATCGACTTTTATATACAAATTATCAATACAACAAAGATACCGACTTTTAAGACGTATTGAATACCTCTTAACAAAATTACTAATCCAATTCTTTCCCACCTCTTTATCTAATATCTCTTCTGCAAGGTTTCTGACTATACAGCTTGTAAAAGGGATAGATCTCTATATCAGCTTATTGATTTGATCAACTAAAACCTTCTCCTAATCATTAGAAAGCACTTGTTTCATATCAAAGAGGAACTATTTTCTCAAGATAGTTTTATCTCTATACCACCAGAAAGTGTGGATCGATCAATTTTAAAGAAATTAGTTATCTAGATATATTTAAAAGCTTGAACCCCTTTCAAATGATCTAATACAAGCTTTATACAAGTCTCTAAAGACATATCATCGATGTTTGAAGCCATAATGTTGATATTTTCAAAGTCGTGCACGTAGTAGGGACGTGCACATAGTGGGGAAATCGGTTATTGCTTTTGAGATGAAAAATATATAGAAAAGTAAGAATAGATTGATTGACCTTCACCCTTCACCCATATCGCAAATCACACATACAATCATATTAGAGGTTATTTATAAAAAGGTCAAACGAATTTCCGATGGGAATTCCCCAATTCCTATGGAAATTCGCTCATATTTCATAACTTGTTCGCTAAGACTAACTCGCTCCTTATTCATAATGTAACTGTTTATGTCCTAAATAAAGTATCATCCCATCGCTAGTATTAATTAATTATGTTTGATAGAGTAGTAAAAATGTAATAAGCACTAATAAATTGCGCTGGAGATAGAGGACCCGATAAGAAAACGTATCTCGGCCAATTGAAGGAGAAAGAAAAATAAAAAAAAACCAAGCCCCTTGGAAAAAAAGACTACCTAGTAGTTGAATCAATTGAGAAACTCATATAACAGGATTGTCTTGATTCATGTATCCGGATATTCCACGAATTTATCCCACGGTTCCTCTCCAGAAGCAGCATTACGATCCATCGAATTGAGTGCAGCTTGAAGACTTGTCTGCAAGACTAGATCATTGGGATCATGTGTCAATGGTTCATGAATGAGCTCCGTTTGCTGCTGGTTTGATTCGGTAGCGTGCTCTGGCGTTGGTTGACTAACAATAATATTACCACCTCCATTTGCAACGGCGATTTGCTTAGCGGAAGGCTCAGCATCAGATGCAGTCTCGTCCAGACCATTAATTCCACGGTTGGATGGAGAATTTGCCCCAATGGGTGCAGGTAAAATTGACTCAGCGGAAGGTGCAATGTTAGATGCATTGACACTCAAACCTATAACTGCATCAGCGATTCCTGTAGTAGGTTCACCGTCCTCTTGATCGTGTTGAATTTTGACTTGTGCGTAAGGAACTTTAACGCCATCTTCATCATGCTCTGGTCCGTCTTCATCTTCATCAAGCTCTGATCCGTCTTCATCTTCATCATCGGGGACGTATTCTTCATTGGGAATGGGAGCGAAGTTGTAGCGTCGTTTTGGAAGGGCAGCCAAAAACTCTTTAAACTTCTTCTCTACCCGTACCATGCTGCCTACCTTTCCTGCGTGTAAACTGATTGCAAATGGCTCAAGAAATACGCAAAATGCGGTCAGTTCCGGTTCGCGTTCCGCAACCCATTTATCGAATACGAACATATGCGTCTCGTTAAACCGCTTCTGGATCAAGTCTAACTGGCTGCTCAATTTCGGAGTTTCACAGACTATCAATGCCAAAATTGCACCTTCTGCCTTTGATGAACCTGCACATAAGATCCTGCCATAGTTCAACCAGCGACGACCTGTGTGGGCGTATCGTGTGACAATTTTGTCTGACAATGTGCCGGACTTGTCGCGATCTGAAACATTTTGATAGTAAGTTCCAGCCTCAAGCATACGTTTCGATTCAAGCTGGGAAGCCGACATTTTATCGAAGCGAATTGGATCGCACGCACGACACCATTTTTTCCAATTCTCATACTCCCCTCGCGCGAGAGCAGCTTTCGCTGTTGCTTGCATGAAATCCGAGAGGTATTTCTGATCAGACGACTTGGTCAACATGAGTCCGATCCTCTCATTCTCAGGAATCTCAAATCTCTCATTGACGGTGAGGAATGGTGACTTTCGAGCATTTTTGAGTAAATTCATGACCTTTGCCGCTAGTACGTGAATGTCAAGAGTGCGCGTAAAATCAAGCACCTTGTGAATGATTTCTTCTGAGATTGGGACCAGTTTGCCTGCTCTAGGTTTGGGTGACGTTGATTCGAGGCAATCTTTGATAAAATCATCGATAGTTTTACCGCTAGCTGCGGCGATAGTTTCTGGTTCGAGATACTGAAACTTATGTTTTGAGGTTGGGACGAATACTTCTTCATCAGAATCGACTGATTTCATCGCTTGTTCGAAAGCTTCCTTGTATGAGCGTTTACCCATCTTTTCTCGTTTCACAGGACCGGTATCTTTAGCTTGAGAAACGGCCATAGCAGTTGAAGCTACTAAAGCTTTTTGGCACCATCTGATCCGCTAGCTGTTCCCAGAACTGTGTAAAACTGCTTTCCCAACACAGCTTTGGCTCGTCCTTCTTCACTCATTTTTGCAAGTGATTCGGCCATAGTCTTGGCTGCAGCAACGAAATCTCTCGAGGCTTTTGCGTTAACAATTTCACTTTCCGTCTTAACTTTTGGCTTCGCACGGGGTTTCTTTGCTCCCTTTTTTCCCTCACCTGAGGCTGCAGGTTCAGGCTCAAGATTCGATTCGACATCCTCGACTCCTTTTCCAGATTGTTTTGGAGCTCTGGATTTGGTGACCTTGGTTTTGGCAACATTGGGCTTGATAACTTTGGACTTCTTACCCTTAGCTGTCGTAACATTTGCCTTTTTAGAACCAACTGGCACGGATTTGGCTGTCGTATTTCCACCTGGGACGTCGCTATCACTATCCGAGCAAGAAAACTCTGTTTCTTCGCCATCCACGTATACTATTTGAATCTTTCTGGACTTTCTGGCCTTTGCGGATTCCGCGACTGACTTCTTAGCTTTCCTCTGGTTGTTTGGATTGAAGAAATCTGCTGGCATTTCGGAACCACTTCCACCACCTTGTTGTGTGAATTGCGCTTCTCGCTCTGCTTCTCTCTTGGCTGCCATCATCTTCTTCTGTTCCTTCTTTGCTTGTGTTTCAAGAAACTTTTGACCGTCTTCACTTTCGAATATCTCTTGTGTATGCTTTGGCATTTTTGGGGAAGCAGGAGGCTTAGTTTTAGGCTTTGGGCGTGTGTCTGGCTGAACGTGCCCTTTTAATTCGCTATTTGGAGGCATGTTTGAGGTTCCTAATAGTTTAGAATCAGTTTGCAGTCCATGTATCTGTTGATTTTGATTGGAAAATCCTCACCCTTTCCATCAAAATAATGCGAATATATCTGCTTTTCACAAGAAAGAGTGTATAACGATAGATTGAGCGTCGCCGGATGCGAAACTCAATAGATTAAAGATATATTATGAGTATTGACTGAGTTGCAAGAGAAAGAGGAAAGGCTGTCGAAATATATTGAGGTTGTAGAGTTTTGAAGTTGAAACATGAGGTATCAATATGTGTATATTCACTACAAGTATAAAGTGGGGCTAAGGCAGTCGACGACATTATATATATTTACATATTTTTCATATAAGTATATGGAAAGACATCTATGGGGTACTTGTTATATTCATAGGAGGAATTTCCCATAGAAATTGGGGAATTTCCATGAGAAATTCCCTACATTCGCTAAACTTACTCCACACTTTACTCCACACTTTACTATCACATCTGAACTTTCTCCCCTTACAACATCAACAACTGATTTCAGTACAACGATCCAACCCTTTCGTCTCAGCCAAAGGTCTGGATACCACCTGGAGGCCTGTTGGGCTCCCGCTGAATGAAAATCTGCATCAATATAATATAATCTATATAATTAATATTACATGCATTCTACTAGCCTGTTTCTTAATTGTAAACATATTCTATATTAAAATAAATATATATAACATGGTTTATCAGTGCGTGGCCCATATCAGTGGATAGCCCACTTTCACCTCAATTTATACTTTCAAATTCATATTTCTTAATAATCTTTAAATCAATTAATTAAAGCTATTATAAATCTAATAATCTAGGATCTATTACATTATTTTTATAGGTTCTTATATTATGATCTGTTTTTCTATACTTGCTATAGTATCAACTAAAGGATACCTCTGTATTGGAATTTCCTTCATTTTGATATCTATCACGTCGAATTTGGATATCAATCTTTTGTTGAGATAATATATCTGCAGCTTTCTGTTCAGTAAGTACTCCTCCTTGATATAATTGGGTTTTTTTTGTGTATCGATATTTACTTAATATCTCATTTGCTTTTCGAAGTGTATGAATCTTTACATTCAAAAGTATATTCTCATGTGCTAATCTCTTTGTACTTTTAACTAAAGCTAGTATAGTTTTAAATAAAGATATAGAAGAGTTCGATTAATGATAAGTTATTCGAGATTTAATTAATATTGATTGAAAGAACGCTTCTATAGGATTGTAAGGTATTTGAGAGGTTCAAGATTCTGAATTGAAAGAAGGAGAAGTAGGTGTATGGATTCGAATATCTAACTTAGAAAGTACTACTTCAGGATCGAATGGGATTAATCCTGCTCCTCGAAACCCTGATTTCATATTCTGATTTGTAATTGATTGTTGATATGCAGCTTTGAAAGCTATAAAGAATTCAACCTTTGAGATATGATTGATATATGTCCTTATAAACCCCTCAATTTGTGTACCATACTCTCGTTTTAAAGTACTAAAGCATCCAATATCAAGAGGCTGGATTAAATGATTTGAATACAATGGTAAACATATATATTTAATATTATTCTCCTTATAATAATTCTGGAATGATATTGATTCATGGTTTTCATACCCATCCAGCACTAGCATTCTGTATTTGCCCTTAATTCGATTTCTTATATGTTTATCGAAGTGTTTCAATCATTCTAATCCTGTCTCATTATTCGTCCACCCATTGCTTGTAGGTTTAATAGCCCAATCTGCAGGAAGATCGGTTTCTGTATACCAATTGGAAAGATGCACCTGTCCTTGAACTACCAGAAATGGAGGTATAGTATCCCCCTCACTATTGTTGTATATGATTGCTGTAGCCCATTCTCGATTGCCTGGCTGTATAGCTTTACTTCTGCCGTATCTCTTAGTATTAGTAACAACTATACCAGTACTTATTATTCCCATTATAAAGCCTATTTTATTGAAATTCTATAAATCACAATCGAGAATACCATATTTCGTTTACATATTCGATATAAATCGGAACTAGTTTTCAATAAGTATAGGATCTTTGCAGAAAGCTCTTTAAAAATCATAAACATATTTAAAACGTATCTTTAGCTTTATATAATATTTGATAAATCGATAAGCCCAGAGCTTTCCAATTCTTTTTGTACCTCAAGATTCAAAAATATAATTCGCCATATCTTCCATTCCCTTTTGTTTAGGTACAAAATCTCTCGAATTCATATCAATTATATATTGAATAATGATTTTCTTTTCTAGTTCCAAGAGATTTTGAGATTTAGATTGAATTTCTGTATAAGGAGGTATACCATCAATTCTATGTTGTAGTGTTGATCGTGGGATATTGTATAGTATTGTAGCCTTTCGAGTACTTAGCTTTTTATCTTTCTGAATAACTGCAATAGCGAGTAATATACGGGCTTCTTTATTATTCGAATTCATCGTGGATTGTTGATAAAACGCGTATTGAAATGAGGGAGTCGAATTGAGGTGAAAGTGGGCCACCCACTGATATGGGCCACGCATTGATAAATCACGTTATAGATATATATATAAATATTATATATAAAGAGAGATATATAAATAAATACTAGTATTGGTATTAGGAATTGAAATTGCTTAGATAATATAGAATGGGGAGATAAAGATATTAATAGAAGTAGAATCTAAATAAGATATAAATGAATAATCGGATATCTCTCTTTCTTTTTCAAAGTCTTCAGAGGAATCTCTTCTTTATAAAAAAACAAATGCTTTTTGAAATAGAAAGGAATCTATACAGTTTTATTATATAATAACTTTTAAATAAATGTTTAATAAAAAAATTTCAAAAATATATATAATTAGCTATCTTCTATAGAAATGCTTTTATTTCTATCTCCTTCTTAATTGTTTTTTATTCTTTTAGAATCTTTAAAATTATTAAATAATAGAATAATAGAATAATATTATAATAAATGAATAATATCAGATATTTAATATATAATATTAATAACTTTTCTATTATATCTTAAAATTTGCTTGAGGTTTTGAGAAGCTTTTAATAAATAAAAGATAATTAAATCTAATAGCATAAAATAAATATTACTTATTTACTATTTATTATTTTATACACTAATTAATTTAAAATTATTAGATTATATTCAATTTGATATTTGAATTTAATAATAAATAGACAAGCTTGAAATAAAAATATATAATTGTATTTCGATTCTAGAAATTTTTATTCAAACTTTTTTATTTTTATTATATATAATAAATTAGATATCTCTATCTATTTATATAATATCCAAATCGTCAATCGGTTCAAAATATAGATTGATTAAGTACTTCTAGTTTTTCGTATTTTATATTTCTTAATCATCTACAGTACAAAAATCACTGAACTACCTTGACTGAAAGTATCGATATTATTGAGTTCTCGTTATAAACTTTTTGACTATTTTAGAGATTGTCCGTTCAATAGATCTTGTACAACAGCGATTTATGTGATTTCCAGCCAAGAAATATAGCAATATATGAGCAACCATAACCGTACCCATAATGCACATATTTTCCCTTCACCCAGTCAAGCCGAACTGTCAGATATATACGCATCCGCATACCCTCCACGAGTACCCATGTTGGCCTGCTTCGAGGGCCTCGATGATGTACTACCTCTCACGACATCTACATCTTTATTCTTTCTCTTCCGTGATACAGGACTTTGATCGCTATGATCACTAACTGTGGAATTTCTGACAACAACAAACCATCTCCATTCTCATCCCCATCTCCATCCCCAACCTCCTGCTTCTTCATTCTGTCAACATGCACATTTTCGTCGGAACATGGGATCTCGTCGAGCATACGCTTCTGGTATTCGATGAATTTACTGCCCCAAGTGGTGTCTTCTATATCCTTAAACTTCTGCTCCTCCGCGGGCCGTAAGTTGCGTCTGTGTTTTAATAAGAAGTTCTTCATTTCCATTCCTGCACGAGTTGATGCACTAGATTTCGTTTTGGAGTTATTGGATGGATCTCGGAAGCCAAAATGACTGCTTGATTTAAAGCCATATCCAATGTAGTTGCTCGCTCCAATCGTAGGATAACAGCCTCTCGTTGCTCATCTCGAAGGGCAAACTTTTGTGGGAGTTGCATTTGGAGGCTTGTTGTTTTTGCTTCTGTTACTACCTCCTGACTATAATCAGAAAGAGGCTGTTAGTAGCTGTCATGATCGAGGACCTCGATAGCAATACAAATTACGGGATTGATCATACCCTCTGTCTCTATCTCTGATTTCCATCATCAAATCTAATAACACATCCATCCTAGCTTCAAGGATCCGATGGAACACAGTTCCGGTCCCTTCCGGGGCTGTTGGCCATAGTCCCAAGACGGACCTCAAGTCTGTGCCTGGAGGTGGAAGTTTGCGGGGTTGTCTGTCGCTCATAATGGACGACAAATAAACAGAACTGTTCCGGAACAGTTCTTGTAATGTAACAAGGATCTGCAATGTACGAACGTTTGGAAAACATAGATAGTGTCACGTTGGGAAAGAAGTTGAGGTTGGAAATAAAGTGGTTGTTGTCTGCGCTAACGTACCTTCCATTTGGGAACATGTCACGCGCCCCTCCTACCAGATCAATTGTCGCTGTCGCCATTAACTTCACTCACACCCACACCCACACTCACATTCATCCATTCCACAATTCTCTATAAGCATAGGCATCGAATTTCCAATATGTCTTCAGACGTTCTGGCTAAGATCAACACAGCGAGGCCAATAGTACAGGCTACATCAAAATTTGTTCAGTTATTAGAAGCATCTGGTGATAATCCAACTAACCCTGACCTATTGAATTTCATTTTGAATTTCGAGGAAGAATTTGACAAAGCAGCCAATTATCGATGGACACAGCCAAAAACACAACAGAGACAGGACCGGCATCTGAGGAGTATCGCAGATGGATCTTACCAATGATGAAATGTAAGGAGTCTACAATGAAGCTTGGTGAAGATGCTGAGAATGGGCAATATGACAAGCTGTTGTTTCCATCTGGAGATAACAATCCAGTCTGCGAACTGATAATGAAATAAGCAAATCATCGAGATGACACGATTCTAAACTATTCGATGGACGGGCTAACATTTCCATTCCAGATACCTATTAATCGCAGCTGATTACTTGGCATCAAAGACGAATAAAGACCATCCGAGTATGCTCACATTGATTGAACGGAGAGAGTCTTTGATATTCTGGGCAAACCGCAAATGTCACAAACCACCCCCGAGGAACATAATGATATCTCGAACAGACCCAGTAATGTTGTTTGCGCGCAAGAAGTACGACATGAATGATCCACCATCCGTCAAGATTTACTTTGGACGTAGTGAACTTGTGCAACTCCTCGATTTCGATATGAATATAACTACAGCGATCGAAGTCGCTGAGCAACACCACTTAGCTTGGACTATTTCATGGGTATGCGGCATTAGACCATCATCAATTGGAACGCATCCAAACTCACTCAATGCTTATATGAAATGGGTGAGTCATCGCCTTGATCGAGGGCCTCGATTGTAACACTAACTCGAATCTTAGGAAGATTTTGAAATCACGAGACTGTACGATAAAAATGATCAACCAATTATCGGAGGATTCGTAATGCTTGCCACCATTGCATACTTAAGAAGGGACCCAAGCCTAACATCATACAATCAGAGGTTCATACAGCAAAGTTCGCAATTTACACCCCTAATCTTCCGCAGAATGTTACACTATCTCCGACATATAGGATGTTGACGATTGCTACTGCGGAGAGGTTACCTGTATCACTATACTACGCCTCAAGAATTGCTTTTCGGGAAGCATCATACTATCACTATCAAGCCTGGCGCCCTTGAACTTCCTATTTTCATCCAATCTGTCCCAGGTGGTCGTGGTCTTAATCCCAGTGCACCCCTTCTAGCGCTGCATCATTCTCAGAATACATGTCCAGAGTTGCACACAAGGCTGGATTTCCCGAAGGTTGTACAATGTATGCATGGCGGAAGGAGGCTGGTACAAACATTGCGGATCATGTTAATATAGATGTGGCCCGGAAGTTTATGACACATGCCCCGGTTCTTCAACATTTCAAGATCATTATGAATCGAATGTGTTTCAGTTAGACGTATTTGCATTGGCAGCAGGAGAGAAGCCCCGCGAATCTCGACATTATGAGAAGTTGAATCACCTGCATTGCGTCGCGTGGATATAGTAGCGACTGCGATGCTCCGAAAGCGAGTTGTTGATGAATGGGTCGAGAATCAACCTACAATTAAAGAACTACGACGCCATCCACTAGACTACCACACACCGGATGGAGTTACACTCAAGAATGAATTGAGACGTCTTCGGCTCCTAGGATCAAGAGCCCTAGATGCAGCCGCTCGAGATGAATTCAAGATCAATCGGACGGTGGAAGAGATTGCAGCTCGACGTTCCGAGTTGAGGAAGGCATCAAATCTAATGAATATCATATCTATAAGGGCGCAGCGGATGAAGGCCACGCATGCGAATGTACTCATGGACGCAGATGGAGATCTTGATGATCAAGAAGATGAAAACGAAGACAACATTATTGACAGGAATCAATTCCTGATATTGAGGACGACACCATAGCTGATCATAACTCAGGGATCGTGCAAGTCCAGAGAGTAGGAGAAGATGTTGATTATGATGCCTCTTTGCCAATACATTATCTAGTCCTGGGTTTCATGGAGCATCTACTTGAGCCACGTACGCCACCAGGACAACCGAGAAAATGTCCTCTTTGTCAAGTTGACGAATACGTCTCTGTTGAACACAAGGTAAGCATCGAGGCCCTCGATTATTGCATATTTGTTAACTTCATATAGGCTAAGCTTTGGGCCAATCTAGCTTTAATGACAAGACATCTTGATGGAACATTTCATAACGGATATAACACTTGGCTTCGCAAGTATCAGGAAGAAAATCTGACTAAGAGTGGCTTTCCTTGTCCGTATGGGTGCGGGAAATCATATAAGGATTTGAGAGGCTTAATCAAACATATCACAACTCCAATTAAGAATGATTCACCTGAAGACAAGCAGCATCATGAGCTTGTGAAGGAAGATGGATGGTTTCGAGATGACTGGAAGGAAGATGGAATGGATTCTGTAAAACGAGAAAGCAAGAGATCCTATGCAAGGGATAATTGGAGATGTAAGCGCGCGATAGACTCTGGCCTTACTACTCCACACCCACCCGCCAAATATTTGAGAACAGGAGAGTACATTACTATTGAGCAACCAGCACCTGGAATGTTACACAACCAATTAGTTGAATATGGCCGAAGAGACGGTTACTTGAGCGACTTGAACATAGAGTTGTCACAAATGATGCCTCAACCGACTGTCTCTTTGCAAGCGCAACTACAATATATGCAGAGTCACAGTCCTTTGCGACAACAGTTACCACTTAGCAAAGAGTTAGAAGTATTGAAAGATCGGTATCAAGGAGTCGTTGCTAATAGTGTGCCAATCGAGACGCTTGATTGTAAGAGGTTGGGCGCTGGAAAATTATAATTGGCTCTATGAAGAATTTGGAAGCTATTAGTATATATAATATTTCTAGAACACAGCGAGATGAGATATTTCTAACAACTGCTTTACATATATAGCAAATAGTTTTATTCCTACTGTTGTGAATCACAAAGTGCGAAAGGAACAATATATTAAATTCCAAACATATGCTAGGCATAGTGATTTGAGGGCTTCCACCCTCCGTGTAATTTCTTAAAAGCACTCTTCCACAGCTCCTGTCTTCCGTTAATTCTGTGCTAGCATGCATGGTATTATGACTTGCCTACTCTTCAGTCATACGGTGTTAGACGTCGGATACCATCTAAGGTGATAGACTCATCGTAATGTTCCAGACCACAGTTGACTCCAAGATCTCTCTCGGGCACTGGTCAGAACCACTAGCCATGCATCGATCTTCTCTTCTATGAACATACCTATCTTTATTTGTCTACGTTGAATTCTTGCCCACTGGTGATTGACCACTGATTAAAGGGCTCTAAAGCGATCTCAAGCAGTAAATTCGTCAGGCCTACTCAAATCTTAGCTCGTCAATTCTCTAATATCCCATGGAGGATTTCTTACAGCGATTGGACCAATGACTCCTAGATGCGACTTGCATTCTGGTGGAATTGACTTCGTGCAAACCTGAACGCAAATGACTTTCATGCCGTCTTTGTACGGATCCATGTCTTCCTCAACCATGTAGGAATGGCCAGTATAGATTCTCAGTTCACGAATAGATGGGTTTGATCGCTTCCGAGAACGCAAGATCCAAGAATGGTACGCCGAAGATGTTGGATCATCCCAGGCCCACTCATATTTTGAGATATGGCTTTGCCAGTAGGATATTCAGAAGGTCGATACATAGATTAGAAGATGAAGAGATTCTTACCTAAAAGCAATATCTCGAGATCCCTTACCACCCAACACAAGATCATATACCGAAGCGGAATGCCTCCTGATAAATTCATTTCTGTTGAGTGTATGGTATGGTCTTAGCCCACACTAGAATCCAATTATCTAGTCCGATTCTCCTCACAATCCTCCCACCCGACTTAAGGTTGATTGATATCCCAATGCCGAAGACGATATCATACTACACATATCACACATATTCAGAAGATGGGAATATCAGAATAACACCACTTGTTATGTTATACAGTTGAAGTTTTGAGGATTCACGAAAGTAACAGTACACTAAATTACTAACACAACTATACAATGAAAACGCGGACTTTTGGATAGTGAATTAAGTATATAAAAAACGTAAAAACCTCAAATAAACTAAAGGCTTTTCGATATCTTTATCTTAACAGAAAATTGAAAAATTGATTGTCTGATTTTAGATCGAATATCGAAGTAAATCTCTATTTTTGTTGTCTCGGAGGTTTCGTCCTGCTGGCGCGAGGTAAGGTCCCAAGTTTCGCTTAGGCGCAAATCCCCTTGTCAAGTCAGTACTGTACTGTAATGATAATCTTCGATATTTTCAACAAAGAACTTAGATAATAATATATGACAATCAATGTTCCGGTGTCTCATATCTCTCATATCTTTCACGTCCGTGGATATCAACCATCATAACCCTCGAATCTTTGAGAATTACGTACAAAATATTTTGATACACCTTGGATTTGATCACGGCGAGCCAAGATAGGAAAGTCTAACCAATTTCTCCGCATTCGGCTATCTTAAGCCGCTACTAAGAGCTCGGAACCCCAGTTTACAACCCACTCACCCGAGTACTACAAGTAGCTGCGCTTGTTCTTGATGTGACGATTCACGATACTTTGAAGGAATACGACTGAGTTCTCTTCAAATATTATTTCAAACAAACTTTGTGAGCAAAAATGCGTCGAACTTTAACCAAAGGTATTTCAACTGCCACGGTTCGACATACCTCCTCTGCAGTACGACCTAGAGTAGCATTCAATATGCCATCCTCCTCTGAGACCTCCAAAATTGCTACTCGCAGACTCCATGCCACAGCTCAACATCTCAAACCTGCTGCAGCATTAGCATTCAATGCCGACAATTATCCTACAACTCACGAGAAAATTCAAGATGTGCAGGATACTCCTTACTTTGTCGACAATAAATTCCTCAAATCCGAATCTACACAATTCATCGATTTACACGACCCAGCAACAAACAATCTCGTAACAAGAGTACCACAAAGTACAGATGCTGAGCTCAAAGCTGCAGTTGACAGTGCGGTGAAAGCATTCCCAGGGTGGAAAAATACCAGCATAATGGCAAGACAACAAATTATGTTCAAATTCACACAGCTAGTACGGGAAAATTGGGATAGATTGGCTGCCAGTATCACATTGGAGCAGGGTAAAACTTTTGCTGGTATGTCCCCAATGGTACACCTGTGAATTTCACGACTGACGTGCGGGCAGACGCAAAGGGAGACGTTCTTCGTGGATTGCAAGTCGCCGAGACCGCATGTGCCATTCCCCAACAAATGATGGGTGAGGTCATAGAGGTAGCAAAAGATATGGAGACCAGAAGTTACAGGGAGCCATTAGGAGTTGTAGCTGCCATTTGCCCATTCAGTAAGTTTAGAGCAATTTGAAGGTTTAGAACCTACTAACGTCCAATAGACTTTCCTGCAATGATTCCATTATGGTCTATTCCAATTGCGTGTGCAACTGGAAATTGTCTTATTGTTAAACCTTCCGAACGAGATCCTGGTGCGGCAATGATTCTTGCTGAACTCGCCCAAAAGGCTGGATTCCCCGATGGAGTACTCAATATTGTCCATGGTGCATCGAAAACAGTTGACTTTATTATCGATGAACCAGCCATCAAAGCCATTAGTTTTGTTGGAAGCAACCGTGCTGGAGAATATATTTTTACCCGAGGTTCTGCTAATGGCAAGCGCGTGCAAGCAAACTTGGGTGCCAAGAACCACTGTGCGGTTTTACCCGACGCAAACAAGCAACATGCCCTTAATTCAATTGTCGGAGCAGCTTTTGGAGCAGCTGGCCAAAGATGTATGGCTTTGAGTACCTTAGTCATGGTTGGAGAAACTAAGGAATGGTTATCTGAACTAGCCGAAAGTGCCAAATCATTAAATGTGAATGGTGGATTTGAAAAGGGGGCGGATCTTGGTCCAGTCATCTCTCCACAAAGCAAGCAAAGAATCGAAGATTTGATTGCAAGCGCAGAAGAGGAAGGTGCAACAATCTTGTTGGATGGTAGAGGTTATAAGCCTGAAAAATATCCCAACGGAAACTGGGTTGGCCCTACCATCATCACCAACGTCAAACCTCATATGAAGTGCTACATGGAAGAAATTTTCGGCCCGGTATTAGTATGCTTGAATGTGGACACTCTTAACGAAGCCATCGATCTCATCAACGCCAATGAGTACGGCAATGGTGCAGCTATCTTCACACGATCTGGAGCCACAGCAACAGCGTTCCAAAAGAACATCGAGGCAGGACAGCAGGGAATCAATGTACCAATCCCTGTCCCTCTTCCATTCTTCTCCTTCACTGGAAACAAGAAGAGTGTTGCTGGAGGTGGTGCAAATACATTTTATGGCAAGCCAGGACTACAATTCTACACGCAGCAAAAGACAGTGACCAGTTTGTGGAGGAGCGAGGATGCAATTTCTAAGTCTGCTGATGTTTCAATGCCTACACACAGCTAGATGTTTATGATTATGAAAATTTAATGATTCCCAACCACCTATCTGATTGACATGCGACATGTGTGATGGTGTAAATGTGAGGTTTGCCAATGTATCAATCGTCCATGTGAATTGCAACATCTCTATCAATAAGAATGGTTGCGTTAATTTCAGTATATACCAAGTAATATGAGAATGAAAATAAATATCACCGTTGGTCATATTTGTATCAATATCTGCAATCTTGCTAGCAAGACTCTCTCGGAGAGGCTGAGACGCTCACATTGATAAGATTGTCAATGTCTATATCACTGCCTGTATCTATCCTAATAACTGTCTATACTATTAATTTCAAAATGTATATTTCACTTGATTGTCTACAATATTATTTTACCTCATGTAATCTACAAAAGTATTCATTTGAAGCATGCAACTGTCAGATTCACGGTATATTGTTTTTGGCAATGCCTGGTTCCAAAGTTGGGCCTCGAAATAACAGACATTCCAAGCAGGGTCAATTATTCATCAAGTGATGACCGACTCACTGATTTGGAACGATCATACTCAACGCGGAGTACCTTCTATCAATTCCACTCCATTATCTACACACAAATCCTCACTCGGGACAACAAGTCACCCGTTTGTATCATATGTGGCCGACAAAGAAGCGGGGTCCGGGTACCAAACACTTTCCGAGATGTTACTCAACAGAGGCTCGAAAAAGGCTTGTATTTTGGTGGAGATCTATTTCGTTTCCGCCAACGTGGTAGGAAAGCCAAATTCCTGCTGTCAGACCAGATTCAAGCTTTTAGTATTGTACAGAGTAGTAATCACTGGCTCGAGACTGGCTATCAATTGGCTACTCCGTATAAAATTTACGGGTCAATTCAAAATAGCGGTCCTTTCACACATCCTCAATGCAAGATCTACAAAATCCTTGTCGGAATACTATCTGAATAAGGTATGCAATAAGTTGAGGTATCATGGACTTAAACTTCGTGTTGAGTTCTTTGAAATCAATTACAATTACAATTACTATTTTTCTTTGTCATTTTGAGTTGGCACTTGAGAAAATACATATATAGAAATGGTTTCATCTTTCTCCTTCCGAATTATCATTACAGCCATACAGCCATTCAAGCTTCTTTTCACAAGTGACAAGGGATAAACTTGTTTGTGCCCGGATCTAAGTTACATGAGATTACCACGACATTTGAAACTTGCGACGAAGCAGATGTACTAGGTACTTTTAGATCTCATTAACCTCTATTACCTGTACAGGAAATCCTTCCGTGGCAAATTATCATACTCGTCCATTCATTTTGAAGCTACTTTCCTACTTCCATTGAAACCTCTGCTTGCGAAGGAAATTGACCTGCGGAAGCGGCACATTTATAGATCCGACCCCGCTATATAAGTACTTGGTACTCTGCCAACATATCTCTCCCCTTAAAGATAGTTATATATTTTCGCCTCTATGTCTTCAATTCCCTTTAAGAGACTGCTGGTCTTGCCTACGACCCTTTCTTACGCACTTGTTACTTACAAACCAGACACATTATTATCCACCCAGCCGAGTTACTTGGGAACATTTGTACAACTATACTTGTTACAGTTCATAGGCTTTGCGATATGGAGAGTGATCTTGTATCCTTACTATTTTTCACCCCTGAGACATTTACCCTCTCCAAAAGGAGGTAGTTGGTGGAATGGCCAATGGAAGAGGATCTCTGGAGAGCCGACTGGTCAGCCTATGCTTGACTGGTGAGATCTGATACTCTATATATCTCTATATGTAGCTAACTGAGCAATAGGATACAAGAAGTTCCAAATGATGGCATCATCAGATATTTAGGGATGTTAAACTCGGAGCGAGTCATGGTCACAAATGCCAAAGCACTCAGTGAAGTTCTTACCATCAAAAATTACGATTTCGTTAAACCTTCTACCCTTCGTATCGGAATTGGACGTCTCCTTGGAATTGGTGTTCTTTTGGCAGAGGGAGATGAACACAAAATACAGAGAAAAAATCTCATGCCCGCGTTTGCATTTCGACATGTTAAGAATTTATATTCCGTTTTCTGGGATAAATCTTGCGAAGGGTTGAAAGCCATGACCAAAGAAGTCAAGGCGAAAGAATGTGGCGATATTCCCAATGATGTAGCCGAAGAAAAAGATGGAAATGACGGAAGTGTCACTCAGACAGAGAAGGGCGTGGTGATAATGGAATCTATGCAATGGGCAAGTAGAATAACGCTCGACATCATCGGAGCAGCTGGCCTGGGCAAGGATTTCGGAGCCATTCAGGACCCCGACACACTACTAAATAGAACATATAGGACTGTGTTTAAACCAACACGCTCTGCACAAATTCTTGGATTTCTCCAGCTTTTCTTACCAGGATGGTTCGTAAAAAGAATACCTATTAAGAGAAATGGGGAAATCGAGGAAGCTGCAGAAACCATCAGGTCTGTTTGTAGAGATCTCATCCATGAGAAGAAGTCGAAGCTGGAAAAGAAGGAGTTGACTGATGTGGATATCCTGAGTGTAGCATTGGAGAGTGGAGGCTTTCCCGATGAGAATCTCATCGATCAACTCATGACTTTCCTAGCAGCTGGCCACGAGACGACCGCAAGTTCAATGGCTTGGGCCATCTATCTACTCTGCGCCTACCCAGAAGTACAATCTCGTCTTCGAGAAGAAGTCCGTGCAAAACTTCCCAGTCCAGACTCAGACGCCAGTGTCACAAGTCAAGATATCGATTACATGCCATATTTAAACGCTGTCTGTAACGAAATTCTCCGCTACTTTCCACCCGTTCCTCTAACCCTCCGTGAAGCCGCCGTCGATACGACGATCTCTGGTCAACGCATACCGAAGGGGACACGTGTGATGTTAATTCCATGGGCCATCAACAAGGACGAAAAGATGTGGGGATCCTCTGCTCGAAAGTTCGACCCTGATCGATGGATGGCTGACAATGGCGAGTCGCATAACACGGGCGGAGGGAGCTCAAGTAATTATGCGTTCCTTACGTTCTTGCATGGACCAAGAAGTTGCATTGGTCAACAGTTTGCGAAGGCGGAATTTGCAATTTTGTTGGCGACGTGGATTGGAAGGTTTGAGTTTGAGTTGAAAGATAAGAAGATGATGGATGAGAAGAATTTAGATATTAAAGGAGGAGTGACGGCGAAGCCGTCGAAGGGTTTATATGTTAAGGTTAAGATTGTTGAGGGATGGTAGAGGAGCGAGTTGGAATTATCGGTTACGATGGGTAGAAATAGATAGAGTTGTTAAGCAACAGATGATGATTATATATACTTTATTATGGCGTTGTCAAGGGTTTGTAGGTTACTTTCCGTAAGCTTTCTCGATCTCTCGGCGTCTCGGTATTAGCAACTTGTTGGATGGAATGTCAGTTCAATGTTTCCTTTACTTCTAGATGTTTTGCTCTGGTGTAGAGTTTTGAATTGAATCATTGTCATGTATTGCAATCTTTTAGGATGTTCAAACTATTAGAACCTCACAATTCAAAGAATCAAAGGTGTGAATAATTCCGCAATTGAAGGCTGCCCAAGAATTTATCTAGTACTAACAATCTTTATAACTTTATCTGTGGTTGATTTATTATAGATATTAAGGGGATGTTCAATTTTGGCCTCTTTTTCTTTTATATAGACCGGGTAAGCAAAAATATTTGAACCTCAGTGAGCAAGGAACTCTGTATACCTACTAGGTAGTTGCTGTCATCTTTCAGGGACATTCATTTTGCACTGTGCCTTGAGAGATTTGGTAGCAAAAATTTACACTGGAAGGGTTGACTTTATGATGAGGAGAGATTGTTTCATATTTTGTTTCAACCAGTTGCGAAATCATATTGTTCATAACTCTTACTTCTTAACACGGTGCTAATACATCCTACAGTGTATCATATACTCGTAATTGGCACTCATATCACATATTTGATGAGTCTTCCTTGAACTGCTGATACTCGGGGTCAGTATGCTTCGGGTCCACAGGTAAAAGTGTAGAATAGAAGCTGTGACGTGACTTCAGTTGATTGTTCGAAATCATTAACAGCACAAAGAAGAAAGGGGGATCTCAATTGAGAAATGTACAAAGATTGGGCCAGTACTTTCCCCCTGAAGCGTGGACCAATATAATGTGATGTAGCTGTTGCAGTTGCAGTTGAAGTTTGGATTGAAGAAGCATTGGGACATTGGGACAACACATCCCGCTGCTGCTGCTTTAGAGAAGAGACCAAGTCCCATGTGGAAACGGCAGGGTCCGAAGTTCGGAAAATATGGCAAGGCACGTTCCATTGGTAGCGGTTAATCATAGAAGCCGCGGTCGACGAAAAAGATTTGCTGAATAGCGCAATTTATTACCAAGGTAGTACGGAAGTTAATTGCAGATTGCAGATTGTAGATTCATAGTACGAGTATCAAGGACCTATTTATTACTCTTTGGAACATTCACCAGAGATCTGAATGTTCAAGTTAAAGTCTAGTGGCATTCCAAATTCAATTTGGAAATACCACCCCAATATAGAAATTCCCATTCAGGTTCGAGCAGAACAAATCAGATCATTCACCCATCTGTCCAGTACCTGCCGTGCTCCTTCTCACCAATTAAAGCAACATCTGCCCCTGCGCTTTCCTGGTTATAAAGGCGTGACCGCCGCGCACGCCAAACTGGCGAACAAACACAACCCCACCATACCGCTAAGAGTGGTGCAAATATCTCGTCACCTCTCAACGAATTCATCCTCCGACAACACAACACCATTAAATACAACAATGGCTTCCAAATACACTGTCAGAAAGATCGGAGCTCCAAACACTTTGGAGCACCGTATCTATATCGAAAAGGATGGAGTCCCAGTTTCTCCATTCCACGATATCCCCCTTTATGCCAATGAGCAACAAACCATCTTGAACATGGTTGTTGAGATCCCAAGATGGACAAACGGCAAGATGGAGATCAGCAAAGAAGAGGTTTTTCTCACTTATCACTGTGTTTTGTACACTGTCAGCTAACATGCCATTCATTAGATGCTTAACCCAATCGAATGTCCCTCCTACCATCAAATTCAATTCTCATGCTAATAGTTTCCACAGAAGCAAGATGTCAAGAAGGGCAAGCTTCGTTTCGTCCGCAACTGCTTCCCACACAAGGGTTATCTCTGGAACTACGGTGCCTTCCCTCAAGTAAGACTTCGAATCTATATTATACATGTTATCTGCGACACGAGCTGATCGGATATTAGACTTGGGAGGACCCTAACGTTGTCCACCCAGAAACCAAGGCCAAGGGTGACAACGATCCATTGGACGTTTGCGAGATCGGTGAATTGGTCGGATACCCTGGTCAAGTTAAGCAAGTCAAGGTTCTCGGTGTTATGGCCTTGCTCGATGAGGAGGAGACCGACTGGAAGGTCATTGTCATCGATGTCAACGACCCATTGGCTCCTAAGCTCAATGATGTTGAGGATGTTGAGAGACACCTTCCAGGTCTCTTGAGGGCTACAAATGAATGGTTCAGAATCTACAAAATCCCAGATGGAAAGCCAGAGAACCAATTCGCTTTCACTGGAGAGTGCAAGAACAAGAAGTAAGGGTTATCACACGACTATCAATTGGATATGCAAGCTAAATGTATCTTAGGTACGCCACCGATATCGTCCGTGAGTGTGCTGAGGCTTGGGAGAAGCTCATCACTGGCAAGACCACCCCAGGTGATGTTTCAACGTAAGTTTTTTTGTCATTTCGCTGTTTCGGACTGTTAACTAACAAACTTATAGCACCAACGTCACTGTCAAGCACTCAACCAGCCGTGTTGAAGCCAACCAACTTCCTCCTATCCCATCTAACGAGAACCTTGCCCCAGCTCCTATCGACCCAAGCATTGACAAGTGGTTCTTCATCTCTGGTGCTGCCGCTTAAATTCAGATGTCTTGAATCACGGCTTTACATTTGCAGGCGTTATCGCCAGAATACTATAAAAGTTAAACGGCCCTACACATATGCCATCACTATTGGCTGTAGATACAATACGAAGGTTTCCAAGCGCAGTTCTTGCACATCCATAATACTTCTGGCATTCAATGCGTGCAATTGTGAAATAATATCAACTCTCTGGCTCCTCATATACCTTGTTCGCCAAAAGATTTGCTGGGTTTCCTCGAAAATGCACTGGGACTTTTAGACCCGCATACAAGCCAACGCAGTTGGAGAACGTATCATTACGTTGATAAACGAACATTGTTTGTCTTCGCATTGATTTTTGATGTAATTTTGATACCCAAAACTGGAGACCCGTAGGACCGTTGAGCGTTTATAGTCGCCCAGTATTGCTCCCTGCTAAGCCGTAATATCTTCAACCTTTCTGACTTGTAGACTATTCCTTCTAATCCTTGGATAGGCCTTAGCCATCCATCTCATGAAATATCGACATGGATTGAGAGACGTATAAAGTCCTAGAACACGTATATTATCTTCACATATAGACACTCCGTGCTTGTTGAAAGTATGACATTGTTAATCATACGACCTTGAAAACGCCTCCCACATGCAATAAATATACATTCTAGCATTATATCATCAGTTTCCGGTCAATTCCTCCTGCCTTGCCAAAATTCGTGAATGCCTATCCACTTCATCAGATACACCTCTAATACCGAGCTTCTCTGCATCCAACTTCATCTCTTTTCCATCCTCTGTAAATTAGGGTTAGAATCTGCGAATGCGAACAAAATTTGAATCCGAAAAAACGTACTAAACTTAAGGCGCACAAGACTCCGCTCTTTAGATGCTCTGGGTAGTATCTTTGTATCGATCTTCATGGTCTGTCGTGCATTTGGTGGGAGAACTGAGAGAAATAACCGTGCGGTTTTGGCTTTGGGAGAGAAGGGATTGAAGACTGTTGAGACTTCAGTGATGAATCTTGTGATCATGTTTGCTACCGAAGCCTAGAATATAATTAGTATTTAACGAACAAACGTATCATTGTGAACTTACATGAGACTTTCAATGTTCTATGAAGTTTCTGGGGGGTGCAGTTGTGGTCTGGATGTTCAATATGCTAGGCGCAAAATAAAATTCTCGGTAAATTCCGAGCCTCACAAACAGCCAGCTCTCATGACATGACGATGCAGAATTTACAAGTCAAAGCATCTGCCAAGTTCAAACAAATCAGTATGTCTTTCGAGACGCTTTCCGAACGCCTTGCGGCTCTACAGGAATCAAATAGACAAGCCAGAGAATTGATTGAACGTCTAGCAACCATTAAGTTCGAACCTGGCTCTATAGCACTGGACAGCGATGACGATAATGTATTGCTGGAGCTTTCTGCGGAGATCGCACAGGTGTTAAAAGAACAAGATGAGGATTTTGAGCGACTGCAAGAAGATGTTCTGTCCATGCCTACAGGAGGGCCGAACAGTGAGTTGGGAAGACAGAGAAAAATGCTTGATGAAGCAGTGGAGAAGAACATCAAAGAAGTCGAATCGTAAGACATTTATTTTGTTCACTCTTATATATAGCATGCTCCAGACTGATCGCTGAACTCTGTAGATGCTATTCAGCATTCCGCAAGGCCGAGGTGACAGCCAGAAAGACGCTCAACGCTGCGCAAGTTTGGGAGCGACAACATCTCTTTCAGCCAAGCTTAAATCTCTCTTCCGGTAGGTCAACCCCTAATTCGATGGAAAGACCTATCGCGCGACCAAAGTCGGAACTTTCAAAGGAAGATAAGACAGTAAATGCTGCCAGCGACGTTACTCTTGCGCTTCGACGAACTCACGAAATGATGGCGGGCGAGTTAGAAAAATCACAGTTCGCAAACGATACATTAAAACAGTCAACGGAGGCGTTAGCCCAGCTGAATGAAACATATTCTACATTGGATTCTCTACTATCGAGTTCGCGAAATTTGCTTGGGACTTTGCTGAGGAGTCAAAAGAGTGATACGTGGTATCTTGAAACGGCATTCTACGTACTTACATGTACAATTGCATGGCTTGTCTTTAGGAGGTTGTTTTACGGACCACTTTGGTGGTTGGTTTATGCACCACTGAAGTTAATCTTCTACTCTCTATTTAGTATATTTGGAATAATGGGTTCCAAGGGCGGCTCGGCTGTTGAAAGCAGTATGTCCATATCCAGTGAGCCTGCAACTTATTCAGTTATCCCAACTAGGAGTGAGAGCGCTATTCCCAATAGCAAGAACACTCCAGCAATCAGCGTTGAAAACGGCGATCAACGACCGGTAGCAAGAGCGGCATCAACAATGGTTGAGGAGGTCGAACATATTATTGATGAAAGCCAGCGTTACCAGGCGCCTATCAAGGAAGAGATTATCGGAGACTCGGTTGAACACGAATCCCTCCATGATACAGAAGCCGAGCTGGAAGAGAACGTAGTGCGAACTGAGGAATTAAATTCAGGAAACCCAAAGAAGAGGATGTGGGAAGAGCCAGAAGAGGCTGCGAAGGAGGCACAGCGAAGGAAGGACGAACTATAGATTGCCGAACGACTTGAATGAGTCAGTCTTCGATACAATTCCATAATAACCGACATAGCTGGGTATGATGGCGTTCAGGAGTCGAGACTGAGCCAGATCTGAGACTTCGACATTCTGGTATTCGTTCAATGACTTTAACGAACATTTTTCAAATGATTTTGGTATCTCAAATCGAATCAATACATAAACATCTTCACGGATTAGCGACACCCTATTATTAAACTACAATCCAAAGTTTTAAACCCCTTCCTGATAAACTGCACAGTGACATACAATATTTCAAAAATTCCGATCCCACCAAAACTCCCATCTTTCATAGAAAACAACCTGATGTCAACTAACAGGCCAAGGAATACGCCGGTGAATATGAGTCAAGAAACCTAACGGACATAACATTACTTTTGGCAGTTGGTGGATACAATCATCAAGTTTCGAACGCGAAGTTTCAAAGATTTCTGTTTCAAGCACGTTGATTGGTTGCGGGATGTCGCCTTGTGATTCTTCAACAACCACTCATATCCTTTGTTGATACTTCTCCTGAGCATTTCCTCACAACAAGGCAGAAATGAACAGGTGCAAGAATTGCTTTGTTTCGGAGCGGGGATCGATTTAGAAGTTCTATGGTTAGGTAGCTTTGGAATTTTGGGGCTAGCTGCTGGGTTATTTTGTTCGACGGGTGCGAGATGGACGAGACGGGACGGGATGAGTTGGGGTACATAGGAAGTTTTGCGATTTTTTGCAGTTTTTGCCGAGAAAGGGGAAGGGTTCTTCTAGTGCCATTTTTTTTCTTTCGCGTTTGTAAGTTTGGAGAGCGCATTCTCGCGCAAGTGTGTGGAAGGATCGTGTTATTGGATCGGATTATTGGGTTTCTACTGAGAAGTCTCACCAGATGCTTTCTTCAACAGGGGAGGACTGGGCTGGTCTACTCGATGGGTTGTGCAGAGCTGGAGTCTTTGAAACTCTCCTGTCGTTCTTAATTTTACCTTCGGAGATGAATGGGTTATTCATAGGATGTCTTTGATTATCTGGATTGTTCTATGGTTTCTTTGTGTGGATGGACAAAGATTCGTCTATTTAAATAGTTGGGACTCTGGCTTTTTGTAAGAGTGAATAAAGATTTTTGTATTCAGATATAGAACAATACACTTTCCTTAAGTTTCTTCAAGTCATCAATTCATTGTGCTGGAACACTCGCCGAATCAATTCCTTTATTGTTAACAAAGCGAGCTTCGAATCACATTGTTTATTCTATTTTCGTACAGTCATTTTTCTGCAGTATTTATTGACTCGAGATTCCCCCGAATTCAAGTCATCCATAAACAGCTCGATCATCACATTCTCTGCCACACATACCTATTCCATACACAATAATACAACAGTTCAGCAGGTCTGATTATCAACGTCGCAAACAAACCACACTACACAAACAACCAGAATTTAATTTCATCACTATCAAGATGCAGTTCACCAATAGCCTCGCTCTCGGAGCGGTCCTTTGCGCTTCCGTCATTAACGCACACATGTCAATGACTTGGCCACTTCCCTTCCGTTCTGCACTCAACCCCAACGCCGTCCAATCTCAAATCGACTACAGCATCACAGCTCCACTCGCAGCCTCCGGCGCAAACTTCCCTTGCAAGTACAACGACATGGGCACCGCTGGAGGAAAATCCGTCGTCACTTGGTCTGCAGGTCAAACCGCCAACTGGACCGTCGGAACCGGTGCCATTCATGGTGGAGGATCTTGCCAAGTCGCACTCTCCTACGACTCCGGCAAGACATTCAAAGTCATCCATTCTTACGTCGGAAGCTGTCCTACCGCAGTAAGCTCGAGCGCCGACTTCACTGTTCCCGCCGACGCCCCAGCAGGAGAAGCAATGTTCGCTTGGACTTGGCAAAATCAGATCGGTAACCGCGAGTTCTACATGTCCTGCGCTGCCGTCACCATCGAAGCCACAAAGGCTCGCGCTGCTCCAGCTGTCGCCTTTTCTGCCCGTCCCGATCTCTTCCTTGTCAATCTTGGTAATGGATGCACATCAGTGGAAGGTAAGGCCGTCAACTACCCAAATCCAGGTCCAGATGCAGATGTTACACGCAAGACTTCAGACTCAGGTACCTTCACCGGAACTTGTGGCCCTGTCAATGGTGTTGCCTCATCTGGCTCTGATGCATCGGGCTCAGCTTCAGGAAGTACAGGCGGTGCAAGCTCCAGTGCTCCAGCAGCTCCCGTATCATCTGCCCCAGCAGTTGGTGCGCCATATGTTCCAGTACCTGTTGCTTCCTCAAGCACAACTCCAGTTTCCATCGTAATCCTTCCAACCATTGCAGCCTCATCTACGCTCAGCTCGGCCACCATCATCGCAACATCTGCACCAGCTTCACCAACATCAAGCACCACCTCCCCTTCATCCTCTGGAACCAGCTCCGGGGCCCTTCAGGCCTCAGTCGACGGTCTCTGTTCTGCTGGAAAAACATGTACCGGCTCCGGCTTTGGTCCATGTTGCTCCAAGGATGGATTCTGTGGAATTGGTGATGCTTGGTGTGGCACCGGTTGTCAACCCGGCTTCGGATCTTGTGGAACTACTCTCAACTCCACTTCTACTGCCAATCTCATCAGAAAGATCAGAGGAAGAAGTTGGAGACTTTAAGAGGAGAATGGAGTGATTTGGGAAAAGGGGCCAAGTTAGAGTAGAGTCTAAAGACTGCGTCTTTTTGTACAATTAGTTAGTACTTTCCTTCAAGTTTGTCATTTTAAATCGAGATTTTTTTGAACCACATATAAGAATGAACCAATGTGATATGAATATACTGTGATATTAGTGAAGTGACAAGAAAAAGTGTAGCAAGTGAACGATGAATGTTTTGCAGTGTTTATTCGCAGGACTGGGACGCATCCAATCTTATTAGAAGTATGTTCTCCTGTTCATAGAACATCTTGACACCCAGGTTGAGATGCATCTGACGCAGAGGATCTCCGGATGTAATAAAGTCAATATGTGATCTTACTTGAACTTATGAGATTTTGTAGCCATTTCATATGTATTCATGAAAACCTCTGAAGATATTGTTATGGAACTGATAAAGTGAATGAGTGTAGTGTCTTTAAATGTACACCCACAGTTTTTGGTGATTGAAGAGACATGAGGTCAACCAGAAATATACTGCCATTGTTCACCGTCCAACTAGCGCCATAACTGGGGTCAAACCTTAAGCTCCTAGCTACTCTGGCCTTACGACGATTACGAGTATCTGAGCATGCAGATGCAGGTGTTCATGATCAACACTTTAACAAATTCAACTTCTACGCTCTTTTGACAAAACGTACCTCTTTCATCATGGAACAGAATGAATCTGCTGGGTCGTTGAGTTGGCGTCTCAGCTCACATCCTATTACTTTGTTGTGTTTCTTAGGATTTCGCATTTGTAGGTTTGCGCATTGTTTGATTTGGACTTCGAGAGTTGTAGTTATACTGGATGGATTGTTGGATATGCCATTATGAATACATTACTAACTGATAAAATAGCAAGTCTTCTGGTATATCTCTTCGGAATGCTCTTCATTAAAAACTTGTATGTCTTCCGTTCCTAGATTCGTCAATTGACCCTCTAATTCAAATAGTGTCATGATCTTCATAATAACCATCCTACTCCTCGCTGCCGATTTTTACTACCTAAAGAATATCGCCGGTCGCCGCCTTGTCGGATTACGTTGGTGGAATGAAGTAGATCCTGCATCTGGTGATTCGCATTGGGTCTTTGAATCCTCAGATCCAAACACGAAAATCATAAACCCTACGGATAGCAGATTCTTCTGGCTTGCACTTTATTCGCAGCCATTGTTATGGGTTGGATTAGCCTTTGTGGCTATTTTTAGGTTTGAGTTTATTTGGTTGACACTGATCGGTAAGTTCTGCCTTTTGTTTCGGATTGCAGGCGGCCGTGAGTATGGAATAGGGGTAGGAACGAGATGACGCACCGAGGAAGTCGCTAACGAGTATGGTTCTGCAGTGATTGCATTGAGTTTGACAGTTACGAATACTTTGGCTTTCTCGAGATGTGATAAGTTTGGACAAGCATCGAGTTTGGCGGGCAGTGCTATGTATTCCTCAGGAATCGCGGGAAATATTGCAAGCGCTACGATTGGAAGATTCTTCTCGAGATGAACATTCAAGATAAGCTATGGGAGGAAGAGAGACCCCCAGAAAAGTTGTGGCAAGACATATGAGAACTCAGGGGTTATGATACTAGAATGAACGAAGCCTGAGAACTTTGCTCCGTTCTTTTAACACAAGGGGATTTGCCATGCGGTGCCTGGAGTCAATATTGTTATACAAGTGTTGTTAGGTGCGAATGTTGCAAGGGCGGCGTTCAATCATAGAGGCGTTAGTATCTGAAGGGCTTTCTTGTTCAAGGTGAACAAGAGCTAAATTATCACTAGCAAATGCTCATACCAAATGAAATTCCATCAAAAGTAACACTTGCTCTTTTCCAAGTAATTCTGATGCAATGCTGCTGTTAGTGGGATGGAACAGTGGAATGGGGGAAACCGATGAATGATTACCCGGATCAAGGGCTCCATTATTAGTACAAGTAAGATATTTCGACAATTTGAATCGATTTGCGGATCTCTAGTGTATTAATCATCGCCTTTTTTCTTTTTTGACTAGATTACCCCTAACAAGCGTTTAGCCAAACTATTTGGCGATCACATTTTGTTTATATATCTTGAAGTTTACGAGTTACTTTCAAATAGCGAGTTATGTTTTCTTACATTACCATTTAGATTACCTTCAATAATTAATGTTGCATCAAATGTTGAACTTTCATTGCATAGACTAATTTTCAAGGTACAAACAGCCAGCCACTCCCGGGATGTCCTACCATTGCACGGCCTACTGAGATGCTCGATTCAACCACATTTCCGTCAGTCGTATCATTTCCTCCAATATCTTGGTTGTGCCATCATGCTTGAGAAGGATCTGTGAAAACATAAACATAGCCAGTGATGCACTTAACATCTTCTGTGCATCCTTATCCCTAGCACTACTGTGACTTTCGAAAACAGCCGTCCAAGAATGCCCCTTCATAAAATTGTCACCAAGGTTGTCGATTGCATCCTTGTTCCAATCAGCTGTGCCTTGCACAAGGTTTTTAAGTCCTTCTTTCAATACCCGCACCCAAGCTTCATTATCCTGGACCGTGTGGATCGAGGGCCTCGGTGCAGTGTCTATTTGCTCGTGACGCTGAGCTACACTCAATGCGGCGATCGCCACCTCTTCATTCGTCATTGTTCGCGCAACGCCCGGTGCTTGAATCTCATTCTTAATGATGAAACTCCCTTCGATTAGGAATCCCTTCAAGTGACGGTAGTCAACCGAGAGTTCGGCTTGTCGCAGTCCTGCTCGCAAAGCATCGACAATCTCTTCGGTCAGTTGTATAGAAGGCCACACTCGTTTTATGGCAGATATGAAGCTGGATATGCAAGTATGATCCCAAGCTGAATCCTTGTCGACAAAGGCATCCATTATTTCACTCGATGGCATGTCTCTCTGATACATATCAGTATATGCTGAGCGTAACGTGTTAGACATCGATCTCAAGAGATCTTCCCGTGGTGGTCCCTCTAACGCCGTAAGTAAGGCTAAGTGCTTTGCAAGGCTGTTTCTAAGACCCGCTTTCGTTCCGCTTGTCCGTTTCCTGGTATTTCTTGCTCTTCCTTCCATAGCTGAGTGTTTTTTGACGTTTGCGATCCAGCTGGCTTCCCTCTTGGCTCGAGAAGGACTATCATCCCGGAATTCGTCGAAGAAGAAGACTTAATTCTGAGCCACCTTGTATGGTATGGACAGTCCATCTTTCTCTCCCAGCAAGACATAAAGCCTTGCGCCTTCTTCTGGTATCTCCTCGACAACCTTCACCACAACCCTGAATACAGGACTATGATCAAATTCCTCCGGACAGATTGGTATCTCTTTGCCTACTGGCATCCCCTTGTTAGTTCCTTTGTCAGTCTTGATTATCGGGGCCTTGGTGATGTCAAATGCGCCTGTGTCTGGAAGATACAAGCCTACGACTAAGGCGCAGATTGTCCTATCATCTGACGGAAGCTCTTGTTCTCTCTGGTTCGCTAATATGGACAGGATCGAGGGGCTCGATTTCAATTCAGTTTCGGAACCAATCAATCCCTTCTGTGCTTTCTCGACTGTGATGGTAGAGACAGGATGTGTCAGGATGTACTGGTATTCCTTTCTTTTGTCAACTCTGTGCTTCAACCCGTACCCAGAGAAAGTGATAGCGTATTCTTTTAATTGCTGGAGGTTGCTTGCATTTAGCGCCCCTGCCGCTGACGAAGATGCCATGGTAAATTGTTTGATGAGAGGTAAATCGTGGAATTACTGCAGTGTCGTACGTAACAAAAGAGATGGGTGTGTGATAGATTTGGGATTTCAAACATTGAATTATTATTGAGGAGAAGTTTCCCATTTTTACCCCGCAGTGAGACTGAGGAGGATGATTTCACCTTTGAAAGTGAGAAAATATCCGTTTGAAAACAACTCCATGCCACAAGATTCACTTTGTGACACTGGATTCCAGCTGGACCACATTTATAGTTTCTCTTCGACTTATTTCTTTTACTTTACAGCTCTTTTCGAAATTCTCGAGTTAAGATTCAAGACGCGTTTCCAATACAATATGGAAAGAGCTGTACAAGCCTATGGGGGGATGTTTGGGGAGGAGAGGGAGACACTGCTATACGCCATACAATCCATCACAAGAGAAACGGAGGCAATCAGGATAGGAAAGTTACCAGCCAAGAGTATCAAATCTTGCAGAAAGAGATTAAAGAATGAAACGACGGCGATGATCGAAACGATTGACGGATATATTGGACGTGATCCACCGGAAGACCCAAACGCCATAGAACACCCTGCCGAGGAATGGAAGCTGGCGAAGAAAATCACAGAACTTCTAGGACTCCCTGAAGCCCAACAGCAGTCCGGAGATTTCAAAGTAAAATTGACACATTTGATGCAAAAGTTGATCGACATTCTACCTGCTACACCGGAGATCGATTACGATGAGGAGACGTGGTTATTCGGTGAAAGTGTCACTGGCGATTCATGTATGTATCTTTATTATTACTATGCTTACATACTAACAAACGTAGATGCTGATGAAGTTCTGGTGAATGAGCATGTGCCATCACAAGCAGAAGCTGCGCTGATGGAAAGATCGGCACTGGCATCGCAGAAAGCCACATACACAATTTCAGAAGACACCTCCACGGAACTCGACTGGAGCGGAAAATCATCATTCTCTGACCGCTACCCGTGAACTGATGGGGAGATACTACACAAGATGACTCAGGAAATGCTGAGGCTAATTCACGGTACTGGTGTTGAGAGCGACGATGGAGACGTGCATAAGGAGGCGCTCGATGGTTCAGATAGACAGACAGGTACAAACAGAAGAGGGTTGTGTGGTGGAAAGCGCGCCATGGATATGGACTCAACAGATCGCAAACTTGCCGAGAACGAGGGGCTCGATGAGGTCAAATTGCAGACTGGATTCCAAAAGGAAGGATCGTTCTCTTTCGTCAAGGATCATGATCGAGATATGGAGGACTTCAACAATAAGACTCACAGTGAAAAGTCAAGCGAGGAGGCCGGTTTCGGAAAAAATTCTACGCTTGGGCATAGCAGACAAACCGAATTCCAGAATCACACTAAACAAAGACGTATCGGGGGAAGAGCTTCAGAGAATCAACCCGATTGGGATGACGCTTTGATGGAAGAGGAGTAAGTGAAGGGAATTTGAGGATGCCTTCATGTATTGTATATAGCTCTTATGAAGAAACGAAGCTATTTACAGAAAACAAAACACTGGGTGATGAGATAATACATTTGAAACTATGAAGATATGAACACTAGTATTTCGAACTTCGAGTCTTGTAAATACACGAATGGCTGGAGTATATGTGGAGTTTCTTTGGACAAAGTTATCAAACGGAGAACCTATATTGCTTCAAATATTGAAATTTCATTGCATTTTTGTCCTCGTGAAAACTGCCATTAAATCCCTAATTGTCCTACCATCGTACAATTTCATCACTTTATAACAATCTAGCATTAAAGTCTAGCCGTCTTACCCTCTTTATCCGCTTGCTCCCTCAACATCCTCTTTAAAATCTTCCCACTCGCATTCTTCGGAATAGCCTCTACAAACTTAACGCCCCCGGTTAATTCCTTGTATCTCGCCAATCTCTCTCCACACCATTCTTTTACGTCTTTCTCCTCTAGATCCTTACTTTCCTCGCCAGGTCTCTTTACCACATAAGCTCTGGGCATTTCTCCATCTGCATCCGAACCCTTGACGCCTATAACAGCTGCATCTACTATCAATGGGTGCGAGAGAAGCACGGACTCAATCTCTGGCGGTGCAACTTGGAAGCCTCTTACTTTTATTAGCTCCTTTTTGCGGTCTACTATGTACCACGTTTTGGTCTTTGAGTCGCAGTATACGATGTCGCCGGTTTTGAAGAAGTTTTCGGAGTCTAAGGACAAACGGTTCGCTGTTTCATTTTCAACTGCGAAGAGGTTAATTTTGTTACATTTATTCGGCCGGGAAAGCCTCCGATGGCCTAAATTCCACTGAGTAAAAGGGGGATGCATTCGCCACATCCGTTGAAACATTGATCTTATCAAGAACAGTAATAATTTTATCCAGTCAAATAATGAAAAGAGTCTACAGTCCTTCAGATCTTGGGAGGTAATGTTGATCTGACAAGGAAAAAGGTGACTTACAGTAACCAGCGATGATGGTCGGGCCGCGTACACAAAGCTCACCGCGGACGTCATAAGCTGTTATGTCATTGCCATCATCGTCGATAATTCTAGTTGATGAATCTATATCAGCATTTAATATTGAAGTAGGAAAATGGCAGAAAAGCATACTTCGCATCAATATTTGGCAGCATTCTCCCAACACTACCCGTTGTGTCGTCCTCCCAGAACCAGAACTGCGCACAGATACAAGTTGTCTCCGTCATTCCAAAAGCCTGGGTAAGTGTTGCTCCCGGAGCACATAACTGTTTCAATTTCTCTTGGGATTCTTTCCCCATAGGCGCTGCCCCGACTCCCGCGTGTTTGATGGATCTTAACTTATCTCCCGCGACACCAGACATGATAATTGCAATTGCGATGGGTGGGACTACCATTGTTTCATTTATCTGGTATTTCTCTGCATTGTTGAGATAGGGGATAAGTTCGAAGCGACGCATTACGACAGAAACATGACCACCCTTCAGGGCGGTTGTATGAGCAACTGTCTTCTGTTTTAGCGATTCTCTGTCAAGAGTTCAATGATGGGCTACACACCAGGGATACAAGCTACATGAAACATCGGTAGTGCTAGTATTCGACGAATCTGAAATGATTTCGTCAGCATCTAGAACTTGTGATGAATGGACCTAGGAGCGCATACAGTATACGGTCTCGGCGCTTGTTCATAAGCAAGAACACTGTTGACGATCAGGAAGTTAGTATTGCCTATCAATAGCAGGTTTTGAACGAAAATTAGCAACAAGATTACACCAGGAAAGAGAAACAACGGATCTAATGAGTGGGCTTATGATCCGGGGACAGAAGTAGGTGCCAAATACTGCAAGACTTGTGAACCGTTTACGTACTGCTGCGCAACTAAATTGAAATGGGACAACGCTGCTGCTTTCGGTGGCCCTGTAGTTCCGCTACTAAATAACCTAGCAGCAGTTGTCTTCCTACTTGTCTCTTCATTGTCAAATCTTACCCAGTCTTCTTCGCCATGCTTCATCAAATCTCTAAAAGATTTGAAAGAATCAGGAATCGTCTGTCCGAGGACATCAAAGATCCAAATATTTGAAGAATGGATTTTACATTCTTTGGCAGCGGTTAGAACATTCGTAAGAATCTCAGGCTCTGCGATAAGAAACTTTGCTCGCGAAGTTTTTATATGATGAGTTAATTCGTGAGAAGTATATGATGGATTTGTGCCCGTAAATACTCCACCCGCTGCTATGATGCCTGTATTTATATGATGTGAGTGAAAGTAAAAGTAGTGACTTGACATAAGAACGGAGTACCTAGAAAGATCATGGAATAATAGATCTGCGTTTGTACGGTTAGAGACTTTCAAAACTAGAGGGACTCAAACTTCTCACATCATTAAACGAATGTAAGCATACACAGTCACCCTTTTTCAAACCAGCAGCATGAAATCCCGCGACTAATTGACGGATGATGATTCGAGCTTGGCTTGCAGATATGGATCGAGAGGGATCTGCCGCATCGACATATATCTACAAATATATCAGTATATGACAATCTCAACCAACTTGCAGGAGGATATCTTACCACAGCATCTTGATCATAGGGAACGTTATCAAGTGTCCATGACAAGAGATCTTTTGTAGGTATACCCACTGTCTTCTCAGCTAAAAATACCATTTTGACGTTTGAGTATTGATGTTTTTAGTTGGTTTCGAGTTAACCTTATACAGAAGATAAACTAATAATATTGGGCAAGAAGAAGTAAAGAAATCATCAAGTAGATATTGTCAAGCACTACCAACTGTTGTACTACAAATTGTGATGATTTAGTGAGTGAGATACGTTGAAGATTGAGTATCAAGGCTTTACGTTGTAATAGTTCTAGCCGACTCTGTTTAGCGGCCGAGTAGTTCCTAGTTGGGGAAAGCACTTGTCCCTCAAACTACCTCGATCAATCTTTGGACTACAAAAATTATCTTATCACTATCCCTGAACTGTCTCATTTGATTCTGGTCCAACAATAGCTATGGAGTATATAATATTGGCTTCCAAACCAATAGTTGTATACGTTAAATAAAGATTTTGTGACAATACATTCTTAATTTGATGAAAAACACATCGAAAAATGTTCAAGTAGCAAGTACTTTTCTCAAATAAGGGAGCCGACTATTGGACCATCAAAAGTTGGGGGCCCTGTCTTGGTAGGGCTGGCTATGCGCGCACGCGGACGGCGGTATATAATGCTCAGGGGCGATCGCCATGCAGTCATACTCTACACCGATATCCGAAGAAGATTGATCGGAAACTCCATCAGTAAGACGAAGATTTCAAATGCCGACATATGTAATACCTATCAAAAGGGGAGTTTCGGCTGTTCGATGTAAAGTATTCTAATGGCAAACCTTATTTCCAACATGCCATGACAGCCACCTACCTACCTACCCACCTAGGTTTTTGAAGTTGATATCTGAAGTTGATACCATAGCTTATTTCAAGGTTTAAGATAAATCTAGATGTCCATGATGCTTTTCGAGTCACTTAATGCAGAGTATCTCACCAAGAAATTGGCATTAAGGATTGACAACGCAACTACGAAGCTATCGAATGTCCAAGTTAGCGCCAAATATTTACAATGGGAATTTGGGGCTCATTTCCATTAACTTTTCTTGGTCTGGTAGGTAGAGTTAAGTCATTCGGAAAATAATAGCTAGCGTATTCATAAAGGGTTCAATTGCTTTCCAGCAAGTGTCAAAACTTCCCGTCTGTTGCATATCTTAGCTCAGGATTAAAAACAGGGAAATCATAATTTACTCAGTCAATAACTTGATATGAAGATAATGAAACAATAGCCCAAAGTTTGTTTGTTGTTTTCTGGAGTTCAAAGCGGCTGAGAATTGCAAAGCCCCATTCATCTCTTGTGCCAAGCCAGCAAACAGGTTTTGAGGAACCAAAGAGGTCATCGGCATCGTCTACTGCCACACCGTGTGAATAATCTGGATATATTTATCATCAACAATACCCCCATATCAAATCTCAACCACAACATTCCACAAATACAAACACAAGCAATATCTCCATCGTGTTTACCAGCCACTGCCCGCACAACAAACCAAGTCACATACTCATACCACATAACTCGCAACTATGCCTTTGTTCTGGTCTAAAGGAGTTGGAGGCAGAAGATTCGGTGCAAACATTACTGCAGATAGACATGGTGTCAGAAAACCTGTCTGGCGTATGCGTCTTTGCGGACTCAACTGCTTTCGTTGAACAGCAGTATGTTTTATTACATCTCCACTATTATCAAGAAGAGACATTCTAACAGGATATCAGTCAAAGCACCTTTACAACGCATCTTGCGATTAGTAACGAGAAACGATACCATGAATTTCTTTGGGAGACGACATAGGGATTGAATGGGAGACAACTTTTGAGTGAGTTTGATGTGACGGAAAGGCGTTGGCGAATGGCTTTCGGATATCATATGAATCTTCTACAATCAAGTAGCCTGTTTCAAGATTGCAATATGGCAGTTAGTTTTCATGATGGGATGAGGAATAGCATTTAGCGAATAATATCATATTGTCACTTCAATATAAGGGGGCCGACGACGTGTATAACGAGTGAAGTGAAGAGTACTCCGTCGTACCCCATATGGATTAATAAAATGCCCCATTTGCTAGCGCTATCTATGCCCGACCCATTATTTTCTTATCTAAGTCACGTGTTGATAGATAGTGAAATTATTTTCAAGTTTGTGACGGCATTACTTTTCTTTTCCAATATCTGGTTCAAGACAATATAGATTCAGAAATACAATGTTATGCAACGTCTCGCATCTTTTGTCATGACATCAATTCCCAAGAAAGTTCCTATTCCTAGGAAGGGGGTAGACTATAGAGGCAAGGTTGTACTGTGAGTCAAATATGTCACAAATGACAGTTAAAAATTAAATTAACATTGCGAAATAGTGCTCCTATGGTGAGGTCCGGTGAACTCCCTTCACGACTACTTGCTCTCCACTATGGAGCAGATTTAGTCTGGGGTACGAGATTCCACGCTCGTGCTAGCTGGTCACATAAACTGACAAAATTATAGGCCCTGAAACGGTCGATCGATCCATGATTGGAACGACACGCAAAGTTAACAGTCTTCTTAACACAATCGATTTTACCCGAATTCCATCCCAAGGCCACAAAGAGAAGAATGCAAATCTAAACGAAAGTCTCATCTTTCGCCTACATCCAGAACTTGAAGGCAAAAAGCTCATATTTCAAATCGGCACATCCGACCCTGAACGAGCAGTACAATGTGCGCGTATAGTGGCCGCAGACGTGGCAGGCATAGACGTAAATGCAGGATGTCCGAAACCCTTTAGTACAAGTGGCGGTATGGGGGCAGCTCTCCTACAGACCCCAGATAAATTATGCGCCATTCTCGAAGCTTTGGTCAAGGAAATTGTGCCGGAATTCGAAATTGGAATCAGTGTGAAGATTCGATTGCTGGAAACCGCTGAAAAGACTGAGGCCCTGGTACGGAAGCTCTGCGCTACTGGAATTATAGGACTCACTATTCATTGTCGAACTACGCCAATGCGCCCAAGAGAGAGAGCGATTCGAGAGCAACTCAAAATGATTGCAGATATCTGTCGGGAAAGTGGCGTCGCTTGTTTGATGAACGGAGACGTGGAAAATAGAGATCAAGCACTGAAATTGGCCGAAGAGTACGGTACAAATGGCGGCATGATCGCTGTGGCTGCCGAAGCAAACTCAAGTTGTTTCAGAAGTGAAGCCGACGGTGGTCTAGCGCCCTGGGAGGAGGTGGTCCACCAATACATGAAATTCTGCCTGGATACAGAGAACAGATTCGGGAATACGAAATATCTTTTGAACCACCTGATACCGGGAAAAGAACCTGTTTATAGAGCTGTTCAGCAGTCTAAGAATTACCAACAACTATGCGAGCATTTGAATCATAAAGCTTTTCTCGAGCAGGCAATCGATGTGGACGAGAAGATTGGGATCTCTGATAAGCAGGTCGAGGAGCATAAATTAAAGCAAGCGCAAGCAAAGGCGGAGGCAAAAGCAGCAAAGAGAAAGAGAAAGAATACTGAGGATGATGGAGGAGAGCAAAAGAAAAGTCGAAGTCTTGAGGATCCAGCCGATCCTTCGTCTTTGGGAGAAGCGGAAAATGCACCTCTTACTGAACTCAAGTCAGGGATGGCCATCAGTGCTTGAGATTGGTTTGGTGCGTATAGCCATGCATATATTTAGGTTATAAATGAATCTGGGGAGCATTGCGAGACTTTAGTTTATCTCAGTGATGTCGGAAATGGAAACAAGGGGGGCGTTCTGGGTTTAACCGAGAAGATATACGCATTTACATGGAGTTCCACGCACTTGAAAGAATATATACAAATTACTCTGTCATATAGGAGGAGTATAAGCAGTTGTCATTTTCGAATAACATACAAATTAGATACTTGCAGATATTCATGAAATTGCAGTGCCATCATGGATCCCACTTTCGTTATCTAGGTAGCCATGCAGCCTGCTTGGAAAACAATATACGGCGTGTCTCCGCCGACAACAATCTTAATCTTGGAATTTACCAAAAGTAACGCCACGACATTCTGCACTGATCGATCTGCATCTTTATTAGACGGCCGAGTATCTAGTGTGCCTACTAGCGGCCCGGAGACACTATTATACCGAGTACTAGTATCAGAGTGGACAAAATGGCTTGTCTAGACTCTAGCTAGCAAGTTAGTGGCAGACGTCATACTTGGAACCTTAATAAAGGCATCTACATGTATGGCTTGACAAAGTCCTTCTCACAATACAGGTATTTTCCTTGCTCACGTCTTCTCTTACCGCCTTAATCTTTCAGTTTCCTCTTTGCACATTTTGTATATATCCGCGATTCGAAAACCATGTCTACAAACGTCGGAATGTCCTCCTGCTGCCTGTCGGGCAAAGTGCACGAATGCACGCCCACAGGAAGGGTCGAAGTAATCAATGATCTCTCCACCTACATTGCGGAGCCCCAAGACGGCTCGAAAGCCAAGACAATCATCATTCTAGTCGACAGTACGTGCATCCACTGACAGCCCCATTTCCATCCCCGTCCCCACTAACCCCTTCACCAGTCTTCGGTTACGAATTCAAAAACGTCCGTCTCCTAGCCGACAACTACGCCAAAGCCGGTTTTTACGTCTACATCCCCGACGTTCATCAAGGAAACAGCATTCCGCTTTCCTTTCTGCAGAGCGTCGAGCCGCCCCTCCAAATCCGGGAGCAGCAATCGCTTTTGGAAAAAACCAAAGCCACGGGCGTGGTGGCCACCACGCTGCCACCCTGGCTCGTCAGACATCGCGAGGGAGTCACCAGACCGCTTATTTCCTCCTTCATCGCGCACATTCGCGGGCTTCCTGGTACGGGAAAAGTGGGCGCGTTGGGATTTTGCTGGGGAGGACGCTATGCGATATTGGCTGCGCATGGAGAGGTTGATGCGGCGGTGGCGTGTCACCCGTCGTTGGTTTCTGTGCCGGCGGATTTCGAGAGCGTGACGAAACCGTTGAGTTTGGCGGTGGGGGATCAGGATAGTTTGTTGGATCGGGGGACTGTGGGGCAGATACAGGATTTGATGGCGAAGAAGACGGAGTTGCCGCATGAGTTGAGGATTTACGAGGGGCAGATTCATGGGTTTGCGCTGAGGAGTGATTGGGGTTCGGAGAGAGATAAGAAGGCTATGGATGATAGTGAGGAGCAGGGCATAGAGTGGTTTAATAAGTATCTTGCGTAGCGCAAGCTGGACTTCATGGTATCTGAGGATCTACGGTACTTGGGGATCTACGATTGGATTATCGAGAGATTGTTAATGAGGATTTAATCTATATATACTACTTTAATAAGAAACGAAGATGTTTACAATAAGAGACAACTTTGAGTAATTATATGTTGCCTTTAGTAGGTATATATGTTATGGGGTGGGTGTAAGCTAGTATTGACATTTGAATGTTTTGAATGCTTCAAATACTTTGAAGACTCTGAAGTATCTGGAACATTCAAAGTCTTCAAAGTCTTCAAATCGTTCAAGGCATTCAAACCATTCAAACTTCTTAAATCTTTAAAATACCTTAAATACTCTAAAGACTCTAGTTGTTTCAAATGCTTCAAATCTTTAAAATGCTCTGGATGGATGCTCTTATAGGCCTGCTTGCTTATTTCGAGGCGTAATTAAGCTATAACAATAAGGAGATCAAATTGATATGTATACTAGCTTATTGATTGAATTTTAATGTGAATTTAGTTCATCTACGAATACTCTCATTCTCTTCCTATTTAGCTATACCCTAATTTATACAGAAATCCAGTTGGTTGACCAATCGCAGGATTGGTCAATGCCCCGTAACATATGAAAGACACGGAATCTAGACGACTCAAACTTCCACTCCTAAGAATTTGGCACGCCATTCGTAACACTTCCATATGGCTCTGCAGGATAATCACCAAAGCAAGCATATTCATACTGAGCATCCTTTGTCGATCTACTCTGCACGTCCAAAAACGTATCCAACTCGCACCATCCATCCAATCTATCGGCTCCACACTCTGGGAAACTGAGCCCCAAAGGTAGGGTTCTCTGATTGAGGATAAAGTGTACATACGTAGTTTCCTTTCCATCTACGTATGTCCTATCTGCTGCTAAAGGTTTTGGTGTCTTGATAATCTCTATGTCTAATCTTGCGCCAAAGGGTTCCATGTGCGAAACGGTCAGATTGTGCGGGCCAGGATGATGGGTAGCTGGTAGGGCCTCGGCGAATTGTGTGAAGCCGAAAGCGGTGAGAATAGACATGATGTTTGTGTCGTGGGAGAAATCAAAGTAGATGGATTGGTTCAGGGGAAAGGTGGCGGTGTTGTTGTCCAAGGTAGTGTTGATTTGGGAGCCAGAGTAACCCAAGGTATGGTTTTGAAGACGGGCGACTACTTCCTGGACGTAGCCGATTCCAACAGCGCGACCAGTAGGAGAAGCGAAGGAACTTCCACCAGCAAAGTAAAGGTCAATTGCGTATTCGAAGCCGACCCATTCTTCATAGGTGAATAGATTGCAGAAGGCACTGTAGCCATACGCCACCTACATCATGTTAGATCGTCGGGATTAGATATAAATAGAAACATTGTACTCACAGTCTCATATGGGCACATAGTTTGTGCTGCGTAGGTATCTACGACAGTCCAATTGAACTCCGGCGAGACCATAGATTGGAAACGAGCGGTGGCATTCTGTAGATATGTAGCCACCCATTGGTTTGTAGCATTATTTCCTCCGGCACTTCTATAATTGTTTGCATTAGGACAATTATCGTAACCTGCCAAGCTGTTATTGTAGCCAGTCGATTCAATGATGACTTCAATAGTGACGTTATTTGTCCATTCGAGACCAAAGAATCCAGCCATGAAGTATTCAGCGCTCTACCATCAATTAGTGTCATGTTAGAAATTGCGGAAGTGACAACAAACCTTGAGCATTCGATCTTGAGTGGTAGTTCGAGCGATAATTTTGCTGTGAGGGTTATATAATTGAGCATATTGATAATAGTGCAAAATACCACTGTCGTACAGTTCTTGTCTTCCACGAGGG